GAAGAGGGTTGCGAAGGAATTGGGGAGAGGGGTTGGGGGACTTGGTATGCAGGGGGAGAGGTTGAGGAGGGAAGTGTGAGGGTTATTAGAAGCCATATGAATAGAAGCCTATTATAACACTTTACATAAATAACTATGGCATATTACAAAGCACTGTATATTAATAACAAGGCCTATAAAACACTGTACAAAATAATAGGAGGTAATATAAAACACTGTATATGAAGTAATAAGGCCTATTATAAACTATGTACATGAAATCATAATGTAATATAAACGACACTAGTATGATGAATAATAAAGCATATTTAAACACTTTACATTTAATAAAGCATATATAAAACGTGTACTAATTTATTTATATTTGTAAATGATGAAATCTTAATGTTTTCTTTTTATATAAACCACTTGAGTTTGAGTGATGATAATGAGCAGTTATGAAAACTGTATCAGGCTGGGTGGGGTGTGGATTGAATTAATAATGGATATATATATTTACTTAATTGTTGTATAATAAGGCCTATATAAACGGTGGTTTTGGCGGGCTTTTTGCTACATGTATATTGAGGCGGTGGTTATTATGGTGTACGTGGTGTGGGTTGTGGACTCACTGCACACACCCTGTGTCCGAAGGTCGGCCGGCACCCTGGGTCTCGCTGTCGTGTATGAACTAATAAGGCTTATATAAACAATGTACTAATGAAAATAAAGGCTATATATACACTTTGTTATGGAATAATAACTATAATTAAACGCATGTAAATAAATAATAAGGGCCTATATTAAACATGTATATATGGATAATAAGGCCTATATAAACACTGTATATGAATAATAAGGCCTATATAAACACTGTACATGAATAATAAGGCCTATATAAACACTGTATATGAATAATAAGGCCTATATAAACACTGTACATGAATAATAAGTCCTATATAAACACTGTACATGGATAATAAGGCCTATATAAACACTGTATATGATTAATAAGGCCTATATAAACACTGTATATTAATAATAAGGCCTATATAAACACTGTATATGAATAATAAAGCCTATATAAACACTGTATATGAATAATAAGGCCTATATAAACACTGTATATTAATAATAAGGCCTATATAAACACTGTATATGAATAATAAAGCCTATATAAACACTGTATATGAATAATAAGGCCTATATAAACACTGTATATTAATAATAAAGCCTATATAAACACTGTACATAAAGCTGAACCTAATTGCTAGCTTTCCGGCCGCAGGTCTACTTTCAGCGCGTTTTGTCGGCGAGGTCTGCCGGCCGAGCAAGGGCGCTGTCGTTCATAGCTGCTGCTGGCTGCATCTTCATGAGTATCCCTCCTATACTCATAGGCGCCATAGGAGCTTCCACCGGTGAGTGGCGCCCCCTAAAACACATTCTTACTATCGTAGCGCCCTCTATATTGTATGGGCATCCCTCCTATACTCATTGGCGCCATAAGAGCTTCTACTGGTGAGTGGCGCCCCCTAACGACTACTTCTTACTATCGTAGCGCCATCTATATTGTATGAGCATCCCTCCTATACTCATAGACGCCATATGAGCTTCTACCGGTGAGTGGCGCCCCTTAACGACACCTTCTTCCTATCGTAGCGCCCTCTATATAGTATGAGCATCCCTCCTATACTCATAGTCGATATAGGTGTTGAACAACAGTAGAGGGCGTCCATAGACTGCAGGCCTGAATAAGCATCGAACAAAAATTAATTAAAAATACGCACACTGTTACTGCGCTTACAAAACATACACTTTATTCATGTTAAATAACTACAGATTCGTGCTCTATGCTCCGCTCGAAACTTTTGCCAGCTCTATGATGCGAATTTCTACAGAGTATTCGGTTCCCGTTTCATACACAAAAATGGCCGACCGGCGATCATGGCTACGCCACTAGCTGGAATGGCACAATTACGCAACACGAATAATTGTACTTCTAATGCTTTCTAGACGTCCACGAGGCATCTAACTTGCGTGCGTAATGCAAATTATTGCACTCTAGTGCCGAATTTCGGCGAAAAACAATGCCAAAAAAGGCCTTTTCTAGAGACGAAATAGTGCAACGGTGAACAATTGCGGACGCTTACTGTTGTACACCACCTATAGGAGCTTCTACCGGTGAATGTCGCCCCCTTACGACACCTTCTTACTATCGTAGCGTCATTTATATAGTATGAGCATCCCTCCTATTCTCATAGGTGTTATCGGAGCTTCTACCGGTGAGTGGCGCCCCCTAACGACACTCCTCTCTAACGTAGCGCCCTCTATTGACACACCGTCTCCACCGCAGCGGCGCCTATTTCGCCTCCCGCTGCTGTGGCATGCACCGTCCCTCACGCGGCCCTCGCGTTTCTTCTTCTTCCTTCCGTATAGTATTCTTCTTGTTGTTCTTCCTCTTCTTCTTCTTCTTCTTCTTCTTCTTCTTC